GCCTTCCTTTTAACAAGTTATGCTAACTGAATTGCAAAAAGTAGTCTATAGATAGATAAATGATACATCAGTCACTGTCCGGTCCAACAGTCAAAGATAATTGCATATAGGCCTTTTCTTTCAACCAGCAATGCCAGCTCAAATTGCATCAAAGTAGAACCATTGGGTTTCAAGTAGCAGTCTTTTTATTGACTGAAATAGGAAAAAGTTGAAAGAAAGAAGGTATGAGAACTAATATCTTCTTTACCTGTTTGAGTTGCTCTTGCTCTTTTGAATTATCTTCTTAAGGCTCCTTCTCTTGTTGGCAACATGAATACATTTTTAATGACTGGAATAGCCAAAGGTTCTCTCGGGAACCGGAAGTGTAGAATCAGTCTTCCTTACTTGCATTTATTTACAACAATCTTTCTTAAGTGTGAAAAATGCCATGGTTGTGTCGAGCAGTGCATCAATATAGTTGTAATGATAGTTTTTTGGTTTCTGGTCTTGCTCAAGGTAGGCCTCTTAGTAGGTGTTTGGCCATAGGATTTGAGACCCCAATTTCAAATTTTGATATGAAATCAGCGTTTATTTGTGAAATCTGCACCAAATTTTAAATTTAACTTCAAATTTCAAATTCTCCAAAAAAAAAGGTAGAACTTCAAATTTCAAATATTGATTTTAAATGTAAAACTTGACCCATAAGTTTATATTTTGTAAAAAAAAAATTCATGCTCGACGTGGATAGATTGTCCGTACCATGTGGAATAGTTATATTAAAGAATAGCTAGTTACTATTATTTCTGATTTTTTGGACTAGTGAATCTTGTAATTTTTTTTTTTTTTTTGAACTTGGTAACTTTGTATTATATCACAAAACAGTACATGGGTCATGGGTCATGGGTCGTACTGTAACCTTATATACAAGTGTACTCCTGATTTCACTTCTCTACGTCTAAATTGAGTCTAACACATCAATAATAGAGACAGTGTCATTAGACTGATTACACCAAAAGACTAAAAAGTAAAATGCAGTTTAGTTTAACTTTCTGCACATTGTTCTCTATGCTCTCAAAACATCTTGAATTCCTTTCTTTCCAAACAGCCCACCAGATAGCCCCCCGGGATAATTCTCCCATCTACCTCTGTCCTTAGCATGTACACCTGCTTCCTCCCAGCATAGTAATGCATCAGCCACCTTCCTGGGCATTGTCCAGGAGATGCCTTTGAGGCTTAGGAATATTCTCCACAGATGATGGGTGTACTTGCAATGTAAAAATAGATGGTTAACAGTTCAGATGTTTCACCACATGGGAAGCACCTGGAACACAAGGTTCTCCCCCTCTTCATAACATTGTCCTGTGTAAGGACTGCTTCCTTAGCCATTGACCAGACAAAAAAGGAGACTTTGTGAGGGATTCTGCTCTTCCATATTTGCTTCCAAGGCCAACTTGAGCACTGTTGATCTGTCTGATCCATCAACTTGTAGGATTTGTTGACTTTGAACACTCCCTTGTCATCTCCTGTCCACCACAATTTATCCTCACCTGGCTGTAGT